CTTGTCTGATATGATTCTGAGGTGATTCTGGACTTAAATTAAACACAGGAAGAATTTGTTGCTGCTCAGAGTAGAGCCTCAACTGAAGAAGGAAGGGGAGGATTTTTGTTTAGGAAGGCTCCTTCAGGGAAAGAGAGGCTTCCTAGTGAACTTGTAAACAGATAATTAATTGTGCCTGAAGAGTGCAGGAGAGAATTGCTCCCAATAGCTCGAGAAGAGCCATTGTCTGTGGAGAGTAGCAGTGTACCCACTGAAAAGACTGTCCCCATTGCTAAATGCCAGAGTTTTCCAGCTGAGCATAGCTCTACTGACTTAACTCTACAGAGTACCAGGAAAGGTGGCTTTGCAAAGGTTTCAGAAGGGGAAAATGGAAAAAGAATTTTGGGGGAATATAAAGACGCCCTGTAACCAGTTGGCTTTGCCTAACCAGCATTTTAGAGTAGTAGAGTGGTTGGCACATGGGTATTCCTATGCTGATTCCTTAATGGAAAATGCCCAGGACAGAGAGACTGATGCAGCACCTGTCCATCTAGCTTGTGTAACTGACTTTTCAGAGCAGAGCAGCCGTGCAGACGAACCCTTGGGAACACAAAAGGTGGTGGTAGACAGACTCTTTGAATATGTCCTAGTGAGCTCAGGCACATCTGATTCCATGTGGAAGCACAATTTAATAGTTGAAAGTCACCAGGACACTGATTCTGACATGTGGGTGGAAACTGACTGTATCTCCCTAGAGATGGAGGCCAGTCTTTGAACTTGTAATGGCTGTAGATTCAAAATCAAGCAGTCAGCAGTGTCTGTAAACATGCAAATTAACTGGCTGGGAAGGGGAAGGGAGCTTTGCCCATAGCCACTTACCCAAAGAAAGCTGCTGAGAGGATGCTGCTAGAAACAGACATTCCTAGTCAGCAAGTAGAGTCTTTTAAACAAGAAGGCTCAGATTACAATTGTCCAGGAATGGGAGGCGGAGAAGGGCTGGATCCTGAAGGTGAGGGCCCAAGTTAATCCCAAGAAGGTAAATAGGCTTTTTGCATGTGCACAACCATGGCTTTGGGAGACAGCTCCACAGAGGGTCTGCTAGTATACAAGATTCTCCTACATCCTTACCTCACTGAACCCTAAAATACCAGAGCCCTAAAGATATGATTGAATTAAAGGCATATGTCAAGAGAAACACTAAGGTGAAGGAAACGCTAATGACTAGTTATGGTGCTAATGATAAATCTTGTTTTTCATTACACGGTTTACCATAAGCACCATAATTTTCATTACAAATGAGTGTTTACAAGTATTTTTGTTACACCATGCTTTCTGCTTAGACAGTTTGTCTCTGAGGTCAGTTTGTTCAATACCCTTCTGGAACCTTTGCACAGTGAATCTTCGTGTAAACATGGTCATCTTTTTTTTATATACAGCGTCACACTCCAAACACAAAATTGATGTAGGAATGGGTGTCCCCGACACTGCTGAATACATCCTAAGAATTTCCCATTCTTTGTAAGGACTGTTATGGGGGTCACAACGTTACCGAACCCCTTTACAAACCTATTGTAACAATTAGCCAGACCAATAATGGATTGGACCTGCTTCTTTGGTCTAGGGGCAGGCCAGCTTTTGATGGCCTCTACTTCTAAGAGATCAGGGCATACCAACCCATTGTTCATCCTGTGTCCTATATATAGGATACTTTTGCAAACCCTATTCTGCATTTGGAGACCTTGGCAGTGAGGTGGAGTTCCTTCAGCGTTTGTAACACAATTCTTACATGATTTATGTGATCTTGCCAGGAGTTACTGAAAACAGCTAAATTATTTATACAATCTCTGGCAAATGTTTGTAATCCATTCAACACTTTGTGAACCAGTATAGTGATTTTATGGACTAACAACTATGTCACCTTATGATAGACTACACCACCAGTCTGAGGTATATGCCCTGTATTCTAGCAGTTTGACCTGAGATTGGCGCTTGTGTCCCATACCAGATGGTATGACACCTAGATTATCTTTAATCCCCACACCATCCTCAGCGCTTAGCAGTCCCACTTCTTCTTTACTGATTATGTTCTTATTTATATGGCTATAGAAACTTTTACTAATGGTTTTAATTCTCTTTGCAAGGTCCAACTCTGCTTGGCTTTTGGTAGTTCTCACTTTATTCCTACACTTTCTGACCTCCAAGAGGTAGCTTTCCTTGCTGATAATCCCATCTTCCATTCCTTGTAGGCTTTCTGCTTTCTCTTAATCACCTGTTTGAGATGCTTGCTCATCCAGCTTGGTGTCAAACACTTCCCTACAAGGCTTTTCCCCTTGCTTGGGATGCAGGCTTCAGATAATTTCTGCAACTTTGACCTAAAGTAATTCCAAGCCTCCTCCACATTTAGATCCTTGAGTTCTTCAGTCCAGTCCACTTCCCTAACTAATTCCCTTAATTTTTTTAAGTTTACCCTTTTGAAATCAAGGACCCTAGTTGCAGATCTATTTTTTGTTTATTATTCCATTTAGTTTAAACTGAATTAGCTCATGATCACGCGAACCAAGGTTGTCCCCTACAACCAGTTCATCTAGGAGGTCCTCACTACTCACCAGAACTAGATCTAAAATGACATCACCTCTTGGTGGTCAGCAACTATTTGGTGAAGAAATCTGTCAGCTATCACATCTAGGAAAATCTGGACCCTACTATATTATTAGTAGCACTTGTCCTCCAATCTATATCAGAGAACTTAAAGTCTCCCATAATCACTCAATTCCCAGTAATATTTATTTCATTAAAAACATTAGAGGTCTCTATCCATATCCAAATCGGATCCTGGTGGTCTGTAGCATACCCCATCTGTTGATCAAGCACTATCCCAGGAGAACCACTACTAGCTTTCTTCCCCAAAGTGCTTTTAGCCCAAACAGACTCCGTCTTATCCATTCCATCACTTCTAATTTCTTTCCAGTCTACCTCATCATTACATACAATACTACCTTTACCTTTATTTCTGTCTTTTCTGAACAGCACATACCCTTCAATTCCTGTACTCTAGTCATGACTACTATTCCACCATGTTTCTGTTATTCCGAAAATATCTGGTTTCACTTTCTGCACCAGTAGTTCTAGTTCCTACATTGTATTTCCCAGGCTTCTTGCATTGCTGTAACATCATAGTTGTTTCTGCTTATGTTTCACACTGTCTCCGACCAGTGTCTGCAAACTGAACAGAAAAAAAAAAAAAAAAAAACAACCCCTGCCCACAAAACAGAAAAAACACACACAAAACTCACTCACTGCCTCTAAGGTACAGGGGCTTGCCTCCTCCCTCCTCCTCCCACTCAAACTCCCGTTTACAGCTCTGTTTGCTGGCTCTTGTGCTCCTGCTCCTGTTTTATACCCACTTCACACAGGTACAAATGAATGCCCAGGGAGGAGAGAATCAGGCCCCAAGCATCTAAATGTTCTCTAGGTTAAGAAGCACTCCAAGATTTTTTTTATCACTATTGGTATTTCTCAACCTAGCATTGGGGGAAGACCATATAGCTACAATGTGACCCTAAACAATGCAGGACACTCATAGGAGAGACTGTAAACCAGCTTCCAACCTGTCTTAAACTTGCTGTAACAGACTGGGGGGGGAATGATGTTTAAAAGTGTGTTTTTGAACGATTAATGTTATGATTGTTGAACAGTTCTTATACCAAGGTAGAAAGCTGTCTTACAGATTCTTCCACTGGGTTTTCACATTGATAGCACCAAATGCATCCCGATGTAAACAGAGAGAACTTTCACTGTAGTCCATCGGAACTATGCCCACTTACACCAGGGTTGAATTTGGCCTCTAGCATCACATGTTTTGACAAGAGGGCTGCCTCCAGTCATAAGCTCAGAAATGCCAATTATAATGTAACAATTGGGGGGAGGGATAGCTCAGTGGTTTGAGCATTGGCCTGCTAAACCCAGGGTTGTGAGTTCAATCCTTGAGGGGGCCACTTAGGGATCTGGGACAAAATCAGTACTTGGTCCTGCTAGTGAAGGCAGGGGGCTGGACTTGATGACCTTTCAAGGTCCCTTCCAGTTCTAGGAGATAGGATATCTCCATTGGTTTGATTTAATTTAATTTCCTAATTCAGTGATTAAAGTTTTCAGTTTATTCCTAGAGATAAGCCATTTTTACCTATTCTATGATTCTTTACCTATTCTATGATTGTTTTATACAGCTGAACAGGTGTAGTTTTTCTTTAAGACACTACCACAACTTCCTATGGGTCAAGTTCTGCCCTCCAATAGGGCTCCCACTGGAAACTCTGAAAGCTGTGCGCGTATTTGAAGGCAAAATTTGGCCAAGTCTTGAGACACTCTTGCACCTTGCCAGGTTTTCTATCACAGGGTCCAGTTCCATACCTTTTATGTATGTTAAACATTTATTAATGCAAGTCGCCCCTCTGAAGCCAGTGTGACTCCTGGCAAAATACTGCTCAACATGCGTAAGGGTTGCAGAATCAACTCCCTTAACATGCATGTTGTACCAATTTCTTTACCAAGAGTTCCACAGTAAGTTGCGTATTCTGAATTATACATAACTGGTTAAGCAAAAATCACACATTCGGAATCGTTAAGGAAAAAAACAGTTAGGTAGGTCAAACTTGACAGGGACCACAATCATATCATACAGCTTTAAAAATTAAAAAAACAGACTTTGTAGAGAGATCTGTCTGGGAAACAGAATAAATATGCTTGGATAGTAATATACAATTTAATCCACTCATGAATAAAGATGCCTGAAATTCATTTGTAGTTTGGCCACTCATGAGTTATCAGGTTTTTAACTTTTTTGGATAAATGCATCATCTTAGTACAACTCATCATCATCAAATACAAATTATTAAAATAAGACATGGACAACTGCAATCTTTTAGGTTTACATGCATCTTGAATGAAATCCAATACTACAGTCTAGAGAGGGGAAATGACTGCTTTAAATATACAGAAACAGAATGCTTAAAAAGAGCACTTACTTGCCAATCCTTTTTCACAGTTCTTCGTGCCTGAATTTGTTCTGCATGCCTTATAACTGCAGGTTGATTCACTTGCACTCTTGAGATCGAGCCAAGGTCTAGGAAGAAGACTCCCATTAATTTTAGTGTATTTTTAATATATTTTAATGGTATTTTAAAAGGAAAGGTCCTTATAATTCAAGTCCTTTGAAGGTAGCTTTGGACTCGTGTGCCCCTTTAAGGACTTAAAGGTCTTTCACCCAGGCAAAATATTAAAAACCCCTTTAGCGTGACACCTTGTCAACACTTATTCAAGGGAAGGGTCTGTGAATCAGATGTATATACTGGCTTTTTGTTTCCCTTTAAAACTTCTGAGTTAATTTAATGGTGTTGAAGGATGGCAGATTGCTAGTCCTGGACTCTGAAATCTTCTATGCCTATAAGACGTACAGCACAGAAAATGGCAATTCAGTTTCCTCACACTGCCCACCAGTGTGCTTCACTAACCTCTGACTTGTCCCTTGAGGGGCAAGATTGTGCCCGTTCAACCTTTGGCTGCTCTGCTCAGGCTGCCAGTTATAACCAATTGTGATGTGGCCACTTGTCTCCTGGGATCTATGCTCATGCCATCACCTTTCACCAAAGCTACCACCCAGTGCCTGTGATGGTAAGGAGTTTGGGTCACTATTGTCCTAGGAGAATTTCAACTAGCAGCCTACAGATCAGGCCCTGTGTTTACCAGTTTCCAGAATCATCCATTCTTTGAAAAACACACACACACATTTGCAAATTGACTCTCTCAAAACCTATGAGATTCTGCATACTCCCTAAGAGGTGCTAAGCACTCTCAGCCTTTAAGGAAATTGAAGGCAGAACATTCAAAAGTGGGTAATGATTTGGATGTTGGGTGCTGGGCATCCACAAACTGCAAGTGAAGTCAACAGGAGCTCTGGCTTCTCCCCAACTCGGATTGTCAGGCCTAAGCTGTTCCAAGCTGAGCACCAAAAATTGGAGGCACCCAAATGAACATCCACTTTTGAAAACATGCTAAATAGCAAAGGAGAGCTGAGGGCACTCAGCACATTCCAGGATTAGGCCTTCTACATCTTCAACTTTGAAACTTTCATTGGCATGACAATGCAAATGTTTTAATTTGAATTAACGTTCACTTGTGTACATATCCTCTTGATCAAATAATGAGTCAATGATGAAACTAAAGGCAGATGGATATAAGCAAAGAAAAATATTCTATAAATCTATGGTCAGTTAAACTCCAACTAGTTCTTCCTAAATATCTCTTGACCAGGGAATTAAACCATGTGGTCACTCTGAAGACAACTTACCTATGGATAGTGCAAAGATTCAAAGGTAAGATTTCCAAAAGTGACTAGTGATTCCGAGTGCCTCCATTTTTTAAAGCCCAAATGGAGGTACCTTAAAAGGGCTTAATTTTTCAGGAGGTAGGTGCTCTGCACTTTCTGAAAAATCAGGTCCCTTTGAAGAGTCTTAAGTTGAACACCCAACAGCTGAGGCAACCAAAAATCACTAAGCACCTTTGGAAACCTTGGTCCAAGTCTTTTTCCTCTTTGGACTCTAGGGTTGATGATGACCAGCTAACACATTTTTAAAGTTGTTAAACCTTGTCTATGTTTGCGTTTAAAATCGTGTTAGTTCAAATATATTAGACAATACATTTTTAAGCACAGCCCGTTTTCCTAATTTATATATGACCTGGGACTTTCTGGAAGCTCAAGGAGGAAACAAGTGCGACTGGGAGGTTAAGGGGAGATGTGGTGGGAATGCAGAACAAAGGCAAGAAACCAAGGCCTGATCTATGCCTAAAAGTTAGGTAGACTCAATTATGTTGCTCGGGGTGTGAAAAATCCATACCCCTGAGTTATGTAGTTAAGGCAACCTAATCCCCGGTAGAGACAGCACTAGGTCAGTAAAAGAATTCTTCCATCCATCTAGAAACTGCCTCTCGAGAAGGGAGATTACCTAAACCGATAGGAGAACCCCTCCCGTCAGTGTAGGTAGTGTCTACACTGAAGCGCTACAGCAGGGCAGCTGCAGCTGTGCCGCTGTAGTGTTTTAACTGGGTTTATCAGCAGATTAACGAGAGACATCTGTACAAAGCTAATAGCATGCAAAAGTTTAACATCCCACCAATCCAACATTGTCTTACTACCATGTATTTATTTACAGATAATTAAACAAGCAACAAAGACATAGAGAAAACACTGGCTGCAAGCAGAGAAATCAAAATGAACCAAGTGTGTCAGATGTAATTCTAGAAAACAAATGATCATTTACAAATTTGTAATGTTCCCATCAAGACTGTAGCAGCATTCACCATACACATCCACTTATGCTTTAAAATCAGAGAGGAAGGAATTTCTGTAATTGCAAACACATTTTATAACAGAAGAACCTCAATGATTCTGCATTGGTTAAGTCAAAAACCTGCACATTCAAAGGAACAGCACTCTGGTCTCGCCCCACATCTCTGAAAACATCGGAAAGTGCTATAGCTATATGTTCCTATAGCCTGGGGTTGGTGGTAGAATTTTCATCCCTTTAAGAATTTTTGACAAATGAAATGCAACTGGAAGACCTTTGAACATGCACATATAAACAGTTTAACTATAAGGTAGCTGATCCCTTAGGGCTTGAACACACTAGCACTTACTTCGGTATAACTTTAAGTCTCTCAGGGGTGTGGAAAAGCCACCCCCCTGAGCAATATAAGTTACACTGACCTAAGTGCCGGTGTGGACAGCGCTATGTCAACAGGAGCAGCTCTCCTGCCGACTGGAGCACCCACGGGGAAAAAATAGTGGGTGCTCAGCACTCACCAGCCACAGCTGATCAGCAGTGCCCCCAAACAGTTGATCAGCGGTGCCCCCAAACAGCTGATCAGTGGCTGGAGGAGGCCAGAGAGCAGTGAGCAGGTAGGGGCCTCAGGGAGGGGGCGGAAAGAGGCAGAGCGAGAGCAGGGCGTTGCGGGAGGGGATGGAGTGGGGGCAGGGCCTCGGGGCAAAGCAGGGGTGGAGCACCCCCGGGGAAAAGAAAAACTCAGTGCCTATGGATGGGAGAGCTCTCTGCACTAGCAGTGCTTCAAGGGCGCAGCTACATTGGTACAGCTGTGCTGCTGCTGTAGCAGTTCTAGTGATGTTGAGACCCTGAAGTGATCAGTGTTCCCAGAAGCCATTATATACAATGTTTGACTTAGTCTACAGAGAGGAATTAAAACATGGATCTGTGTCAGAGCTGTGATTCTCCTCCTGTGTGCCTAGTGTACAGGCAGAATCATTAGACCTTGCTGCAATTTATCAAGACTCCTGATAACTTTAGTGCCTACTGGGGGCAGCACGACCTTTCAATCCCTTTGGAAGATTTGATCAATTCTTTTAGAAGCTCAGTACCTCGTCTGAAATGCTTTACCTCTTCTCTAATAAGACCTACTGTCCACAGTTACTCTGGCACTGGACGGCAAACAGTGAAGAGTCCCCTTTGTTCATAATGTCCTGATTCTTTCCAGACTCACTCACTCACTGAAAGACAATTGAGTTGATCTGTCAGAAAATTAACTTTGTATCACTTCTTCATGGAGCTAAAAAGTCTGTCGTAACACATGACTGCTTGTACAGAATATGGAAAGTATGCAGAAGAGGAAGGATTGGAATGTTAAATCCAATTTGTTACAAATCGGTAATTCTTTCCTTTTGTGCTATCTTATGCCATAAACCTAAATCTGACTGAGCGTGAGTCTACACAGCCAAAGCTGTGCACAGGTTAGCCTACCAAAGTGATACAACAGCAGTGAGGACAGCGCAGCACGGACCTCAGCGTGGGCTAATGAGCCGAGTATGTACCCAGGGACCATGCAAGGCTTGTGCTACCCACACTGCATGGTCTTCACTACTATTGTTATCTACACTAGCTGGATTCAAGCACGCTTGTGTCAGCTAGCCTGCACACCGCTTTTGCTGTGTAGACAATCCTTTGGGGGGTAAGAAGAAACTTCCCCCGTGGGCAAGTTATTCCATTATTATCCACTTTGGAGTCTTTAGCAACTTTCTCCGATGCATCTGATACTGGGCATTCTTAGGGACATGATACTGTACTAGATGATCTAATCTGGTTATGGCAGTTCATATGGTCCTAGTTAACTCATTGGTCAAAGCTACTGAGGAACTCTGGGTAACTTTCTCTGGGAGGGAGAATCACAGACATATATTTGAGGAAGTAACAAGCATGTTAACAGATATATTTGTTTTAAACAAAAGACACAACTGAGTCTGTGCCATTCGAGAGATGGCTGGAGAACTGAGGAAAACCAACCATCCCATTAAGGGATTCTTCTGTTAACTCAACTTATGTTTTCAGTTTTCCCATTCAATACCCCCTTAAAAAGTCATCTGCTCAATATTAATTATCATTACTAGTACAACACCGAAAAAGCATGCCGGGTTCTTACCAGAACAAATAAAACAAGAGCCCAGATTTTTACAGATTACAACGCTGAGCAGAGCAATGCCTAAATACCTTTAAAAATCTGGACCAAAATCCCTGCCAAGAAGAATTTACAATGTAATATTAGACATGTGAGGCAAAGTGTGAGGGTAACAAAAAATTGTAAGGGATGTGGTGTGGCAGGACAAAGGTTATGGTAATAAGCAGGAGCAGATGGAGTCTCCAATGCAGCACAGATCCTTTCTTCAAGCACACATCTCTATTAATTAAGAAGGGGATGGGGAAGAGAAAAATAAATAAATATGTATCAGCATAATCATCTTTAAATAGATTTTCAAAGTTTCCCATGTGGGATCTTACCAGACCTTTAAACATAAATGTCTTTATTCAGAAAAAAAAAAAACAGTCTCAATCCTAACTTTTGTCTATTAAAATTCAGAACATAACCATTATTTTAAACAGAACTGTTTGCCTTGGATTTCCCCCCACACACACTGTATGATTTAGAGAGTCTGGCTAGGGAAAACTATATTTAATTAGGCTCATTAACCTTGCAGTGTGAACACTCCTTTTTTTAAAAAAAATAAGTCATCTGCTAGTCATCTGCATAGTCATGTGGCTTCAGGGATAAAAGCAATTAAAG